CGCCATCGTTCGCGCGCGCGAGCAACATTCAACCTCCATCGCACTTAACGCGGTTATTTACTCTCTGGTCGATGAACGTTTCTTTTGCGTATATCCAGTCACCTGAGAGCCGATTGAAATTCACGCGCGAGTACAACTTTTAGTTCGCCTCCCCCCGTCAAGAAACGCGTCACCGCTGCGACGACAATCGACTTTTGGCGGGAGGGCAACGAATCTCAGGAAAAAAGAAAACCAACCGCAACGTCGACGGCCACGCGCGCGCACTCGTTTCCACTTTCGCAGCGAGCGAGTTACCTTCTCCATTTGGCATCCGTTGCGCGCGCATAGACACGCATACACACGCGAGTACAGTACAGCAGCCGATCCGTTGCGCGAAAATCGAAGGGAGGCGAGACGAGATAGGCTGCTCGACGGCGCGAAGGCAAATCCATTGGCACGCCGGGTTACTGGGTTATCGACGTTCGTTACGTGTCATCTCCCGGACTTTTCTCTCTCCGTCTCCTCCTCCTCCCGGCCGACCGAGGCCTCCTTCGCTGCTGCGCCACGGCGTGTCGGCAGCTTTTCCGCGGAATTACTGCAATCCATTTCGTTATCGCTTCTCCCTCCGCCTCCCTCATTCTTTCGTTTCGCTTCACGTTTTCTTCTGCGAATCGAGCATCGAGCCAAGTCTTTTACTTGTCTCTCCGCGCTGCTGCTTCACTTTAATCAAGACATTTATTCGACGCAAATAACCGACGCGCGCGTTTACGCAACGATTATTCTTCGGATACGTATAGAATACTCGCTGCGCGTTCAAGCGTCAGGATGCGTTTCCAAACCATCACCCTCGCTATTCGCTTTGCTTGAAAATACTTTAGCCTTTTGATTGCCTTTCTCGCTTCACGTCGAATTGATTGTGAAAGCGTATGTCTATAAATAATCACAAATAACGAATACCTAAATTTCTCTCAGCTATTACTGCAGTTGTCACCTAAAGCATTTCTTTCGGAATGGAAAATTTTGTAATGGGAAATACATAAAAAAAGAAATGTAATGCACTGAACATCAACTGTAAGTGCTACGTTAAAAGAGCGTAGTTTACCATTTTTCTCGCGCACTTCACATTTATGTGTTAAAACTATCGAGATGAAAATATAGTATGAAAACCCCAGGTAGATAGCAAACAGAAAAACTTGTATGTAAAGGTGGTTAATTGCAGCGTGACGTTGTGCTTGCAACTAATTGTACGTTAACTCTTCTATTTTTCTTTCGGATGAGCGATTTTAACGTCAACATTGATCTTCGTGGATGCAACTTTGCTTACATCAGAGTGTACGCACAAAACATTATCTCATACATAAGGTCTCTTCAGATTGTTTTTCATAACAGCAAAGTAAAACTTTTCAGGTAATCCACTGTAACTTGTTATACGTCTATATTGCTATTGTCTTACGCGAGGAAAATTAAAACTGTCTAGTATCGTGTACTTTCGGACGTTGCCTTAAACTCTCATTTTTCAGCGTTACACCGCGTAAGGAAATTGCTAGGTGTAAGCGAGCACGCTGGCTAAATGTTCAAGCGTTGAGACACCACATGTCACTCACATCCACGCGGAAATAGCGTGTCGTAAAAGCGTTCTAAACAAGTTGTTACGAGGTGTTGAAAACATCAAATAAAGTGCCTGCTATATTATTCGCTCACCCCGCAATACCGGTGGTACTTGGCAGCACTGAATAATTCATCTGAGAGATAAAAGGCAATAAAAACTGACTATATACAAAAGAAGAACATTGTCAGAATTAAAATAATCCTACAATCAATTTTACGTCTCATGGCAGACGGTTGTTCATTCTTGAAAATAGGGGAAATACGAAATTCTTCTAACTATTTTACTTTCTTAGCTAATTAATTAGTATTTTCATAATTGGTATTTGATTATCGTTGCGTAGTATGCTATGAATTTGTATGAATTGTTAGTGTAAGATGTATTAAGCATTACATGAAAATGATTACCGATGAGGAATTGATTGAGTTGTGATGACGTATGTGAATTCCATGCGTACTTCTGTTGGGTCGTCCAGGGTATCGGCGAAACGTCAAGCTTAAGTTGTATCTTTGCCAAAAAAATATTATTCTGACACAGACGCACTTGTTCTCTCACTGCTCGGTATAAAAACACTGAATAAGCTGTTAACGTTGGCAATAAGCGCAATATACCTCAGGTATTACATTCCCCGCGTATTTGATTGGAAAAAGCATACGTAGAGGTACAATTCCGTGCGTGTACAACAGGAAAAGAGAAGAAAGAGAGAAAGAGAGAAGCAAGGGCTTCATCGTGTCCACGACTTGCTTTGGCTTCGCAATGTTCAGGCGTACCATCACTGACAATTCTCTGTTTATTTCTCATTTTGTTTCTCGCGTCATATACAGAAACAGCTTCGTTTTTCACCCCCTTTCCCCGGCAATCCCAACGACGGACGGCAAGTTAATGGGATTTTTATCTGCGCGAGTCGCTCCTCCTTGCTCGTACTTGCTCCCTTGCTCTCTCGACGTATATAACGCGCACACGCGGATTTCACTGGGCTTTATTTTTCTTTCCTCTTTTCGATCTATCCAACCTGCCACCTGCTCTTGCAGCTTTTATACGGCGGAGATGAGTCAATCTGCCACCTATCTCTCCTCTCTCTCTCTCTCTCTCTCGCTCTCTCTCCCTCTACTCGGCCCCTTCGCCGATGAATTCAATAATTTAATTTACGATGCATCGAAAGATTTTCATTTCGTCTGCGCGCGCCCGCACCCCCGTCGGCTTTCATTTGGGATCGTGAAAAATTACTCTTCGCGTTTTCTAGCTCTGCTACGTTTTCTTCACGAGCGTCTCGAGGGTGAATAAAAATTTTTATTTTCTTTTTTTCGAAAGCAGCCGTTTAAAAATGAGAATATGGCTGGCATCAAAATGTTCTCACTTCCCTCAAGAGCTTTTCTAGAGCGAAGAGAAGCTTGCAAAAGTAAGCCGAGTAGACGCGAGAGAAAAACTGTGCGTGTTTTAAGGAAAGAAAAAAAAAGAAAAAAAAATCAATAATCCAGCGAGTTTAATTTCCGCGCGCGCACAATGATACAGTGGAGCGCGGTATTCGTGTGAAACGAACAGGCAGCTTCGCGACGGCATTAAATATTTATCCGCCGCGCGCTCTTCGCGAAAATCTCTGCCGCGATAAAAGGTCGCTCGGTTGCGCGCACATAATCCGGCCAAAAAGAAAAGCGGCGCGGGCCTGTTCGCCGGGGGAGGCTCTTAATCCGTCCGGCTGTGTGCAAATGGATATATGCGAGGGATGGAGAAGGTAAGGAAAAAAAAAAAAAAGGGGCGCAAGCCGCTTAAAAGTAATGTACACCTTTGCTCGCTGCGCGAGCTTTTCCCTCCCCTCCCTCCCTTCGCCGTCGTATTTTTCTGGTCGTCTTGGGAAAAGAAAATTCACGCGTTTACGTGTCCAATTCGACGCGGAAACAATTACGCGGCGTCGATTCTTTTCTGATGAATAAAAAAGGGATCAGGTAGGATGACTTTTCTCCCTCTCTCTCTCTCTCTCTCTCTTTCTCTCTCTCACTCTCTCTCTCTCTCTTAGGATACGCTCTTTTTCCATTTTTTTGACACGCGCCTGCTATAGATATTTTTTATTTGCCTCTTCTTTTTTCCGACGACTGAAAAAAGTTGATTTTTATTCTGCGGCAGCCCTCGAAATGACGACGCAATTTCACATGTTTGCGCCATACGGAGTAGGTCAACTTTGGTTAAAGTACTTGCGGTTTAGTCAACGCTCATTTGTATGAAGTATACATTCCGTCTATTGTAATATTCAATATTTGTACAAAATGTCGAACTTTTCATTATCGAATCATTAGATGTGAATGCTACATGATATATATATATATAACCAATTTTAGGACACACGAAAAGTTAGATGACAGGAAATGGACGGAGAGGCTTCGTTCGATCAAATTTGACGCTTGGAATCGCAGCTCAAATTGGTCAGAAGTGAAACCGTGTTTCAATTTTCAATTGCACTACCTTACGTAATAGTGATCTGAGTAGAAAAAAAGTTCGAAACACTGACTTTTACTGGCTAAAAATATGGAATATCGATGTTTGAATAAGTTATAGCCTACACAATTTCATCTGAAATTCAGCATACTTTGCATTCTTATCATCGGCATTCCTCCCTTAAATTCTCTTCATTTTTGGAGGTATAATTAACTAAGTTCTTCAATATTTTGATTTATAATAAACGTACGATCTGCATTTCATGATAATATTAAAAATACAAAAACATATTGCATTGATTACATGTACAGTGATAACATCGACATAATAAATTATTTTCCTAGTATAGATCTGATAAGCACGAACATTTTATGATTTTTGTTATAACAGCAGAAACACGCGAGATCCAGGATTACTAAAAACTGTGTCAATTTTAAATAGTAAACATTTAAAAAAAAAGGCAGATATCCGGCTGAAAAGTTTATGGCGCATAAAAGTGTGACTTTAAAAAGAAAACGCTGCAACAATGTGGGCCTACAGTACGCCCCGCGTCAATTTTCAAATAACCGTGTCAGCTGGCTGAATTGATTGATATTTTACAGGTATTTCATCCCTGCGCGACGCGAAATTTCAAAGCGCATAAAATCTCGGTGGCGCACGAGTGAAAAATTTAATTAGCAGAGCAATCAGACTCTAATTTCTTATTAGTGTGAAACACGTGCAATTAGGCCGAATTTTATCTGGCTTAGGGTAATTAAAATCCATTCGATCATTGGGCTTTAAGGTCGCGCAGAAGTTTAAAAAATATGATAGATGCGAATCGCGCTGATAACGATAAGTAGTGCCTTTCGATGATCCGCTCGCGTATCGAAAGGAGTTGGCCGTCGATGAACCACGGTACCGTAGCAACGCGCTCGAAGCCCCGTGCTCAGTTTCTCTTCGTGCCGTATGAGCCTTCTACATAACTTTAGCATGCGAGACTTACCTCGGAGGACGTCAAATAGCAGAGTCTCGAGTCGGTGCTTTCGAGGGACGCTTGCTGGACGATTCCATATCTGCTCTCGCGGTCCGACATGTAATCCGATCTCACGCTGTCTTGGCGATCGAATGTGCCCCTGTTGACGGCGTGCCAGAAACAAAAACCAATTCATCCAATTACATTTTGCTCGCTTGTGGTCGCTGTGCGCGCGTATGCTTGTTTCGCCGAATCGCTCGGGGAATCAACTTCCCGCGCAGCGACTCGTTTATTTATTTATTTATTTTTTGTTATCGCCGCGTTGTTACATTTTGATGCAGCAGCTTTTGACGGCTGCTTTATTTCAGCGGCTAGTTTTAGTTTTATGGCCGTTTATACCCCGCCACTTTCTCTCTCTCTCTCTCTCTCTCTCTCTCTCGCCCGCTGCACTCCCTCGCGCGAGTGCAGTGCACCCGAAAATTGGCTTTTCGGAAACAGGCACTTTAGCCTTTTATTAATTGCTCATTGTTTAATAGTTGCCCCTTTTTTTATTCTTCGTCGCAAAATGTCATTATACGTCTACTCTAATTCTGTGGAAAGTCAGTTAAAGCTCTCGAGCTTGAGCGGTAAAATACTTCGCGTAAATAACTTTCGAAAATTCATCTCTGTCAGAATTAACTTTTCTATGCCGCACATTGCACACAAAATAAAAAAAAAGAATAAAAAAACGAAGAGAATATTAAACTTCCTTTCGCATTTCAAAAATGAAAGAAACTCCTTTTTTTTTTCTTCTCCTTTGAACAAGTTTCGTTCTAGAAACTGCTCGATACTTCGCGCGTGACCTCGAATCTATTTACTATATATAGTCTATATGCCCTTCGGACATACGGCATTCAATTTATTCTGTGAAAGCGCACACGCATACAAGAGCGGATATAAAAATATCGACACTGCTTCTTCGTCACGACAAAAATAACAATTTTCAAGAGAAAGAGAGGCAGCGAGAAAACCTTTGTACCTACTTCAAATCAGTCAGTCCATTTCCGCAATTTGATGTTCATTCGCCATCGCGCGCGCGTCCTTCAAATGCTCAATTTGGGTCAGCGAAATGGTGTGACTTGCGCACAAGTTGAGCGGGAAACAGAGAAATTATTACGTTGACACGTCGAACGAGCGTCAACGTAATAACAATAAAGAGAACAGAAAAGAGGACGGTTTATAAAAATTTACAGCGAGTAAACTTTTCGCTAAGTTAAGGATATTATCATTAGCGACCAAGGTATATTGATAAAAGAGGAGGCTACACGGGTAATAATAGTTACATAGCCTTCGTCTCGTCGAGTTCTAGTCGCTAGATACAAAGCCTTCAGCTCGTCAAATCAGATTTTTCTCAAGATCCGTCCGTGTGATTTGCTTCCTCAGGCAAACTCAATTACGTACTCGCCAATTGGAAGTCTTTTCCTCCGCGACGCGCGACCTTCTTTTTATCTTTCTGCAAAACGACGAGAATGCAAAACAAAAGCGCCAAAGATTGATCGATTATATTGCGACCGTTATGCGAAAGTTGCTTGTCTCGTTCGATAGTAAATAACGTTCGAACTTTGCTTTCTTCTTGGGAAGACTCGATCATGATCACGTGGCAAAGGATACGAGGTACGTATATAAATTATCGAAATGATAATGCTGCTAGGAATTGGTTCGATCGTATGAAAGTGAGCGTCAATTCCGTTTGGTCGAAATATCATCGACTTGCAATGTGAATTTCTCTTCTCGTAAACTTGAGTTCCAAAAAAAATCGATAATACGCATCAACACTTTTTTTAATTTCCGACTAGAATAATTAACAAGTTTTTGAATATACTTGGTTCTGGCGAGTTTCGATTTATTATTTCGCAAGTGCCTTGCGAGCTTCGAATATTTGCTGGAAGCTGTATCCAAAGTTGGGAATTAACAAATCACTGGCGAAAAACCTGATTGAATACAAAGGGACTCGCGTAGTCGACCCAAATCAAGTGGTATCGTATACACTATCTAGTATTGGCCTATTTCTATTAGAAGAATCAACCATCTTCTTGACTCTGCATCCATGGCACCTGTGTACGCGCGCGCGTGTGTGTGTGTGTGTGTGTGTGTTGGCAGAAAAAAGAAATAAATAATAACAGACGAAAAACGGTGAAAGTATATACCGAGAAAAAGTTCTTTATAACAAATGATAAAGGTTATTTATGTTTAGTTTAATTAAGAATTAATAAATAGATAAGATACATAGTACATACGCCTTACTCCAAAAAATTTTGGGATCAATGTGACCTTCGACAATAATTCGAACCAAATATAACATTTTAATTTATTGTTAGGGACTCATAAAAATGGCTTTGTATATATAGTAAAACTTACCGAGCTAATCATCTATATTATGTCGATAATAATAATTACCATGGGTTGTAGTAAATTTTACTATGTTAAATCGTAAAATGTCCAATATTTAAATTATACTACGTTAAATAGCAACTTTTACTACAATTAGAGTATATTCTAGAATCAATACGTCGTAGTAATTTTTACTAGGGATTACGGAAAATTATATAGTATCGATTCTCTCAGTGTAAATTTGGAGCACAATCGCTATATAGACAATGAAAACAATGCAGTTGTCGTCACATCCTGAAGGAGAAAGAGAGAGAGAGAGAGAGAGAGAGAGAGAGAGAGAGAGAGAGAGAGAGAGAGTGGCTTAGGCGAAACTTTTATCCCGCGTATGGATTATTTATGCTCACATATGCTTGTCGACGTTTGGCTAAGGAAATCATATATTGTACCTCGAGACAAAATTTGAATAAGGAGGATTATTGGAAGGGTTTGCGCGCGGTCGATGTCGCAATGGTTCAATTATCTTTAAAATGTAATTGTTCGATCGGGACCTCGAGAAATAGAATTACACGCAAGGCTTTGTTGTCGTTGAATTTGCGAAAGCTTATTTGGATGAATCGACGTGTTTTGATTGTTGATAAGGATTTTAACTGTAATTGCGTGGCTTGCATGTAAATCCGCTTAAAAAAAATTTCAATTTCAAGTTGTCAATCGATTGTGCGCGAGTTGTGAGAATTGGCGAATATAAGTCGAATCAACATTGAGCCGTGAACGGTGCGCGCTGGAAGAAAAAAAGGCGAATCCGATGAGTAGAGAATATCGAGGAAAAAGCAGCGGCAGAACACAATCGGAAAGCCACACCACTGGAAATTCGGCCAATAATCGAAGAAGAGAAATCGATTAATCACTCGAGGCCGGCGCAATGCCAGTCAGACGTGAAACACACGCGAGAGCTGCAACGAGAGTGGCTTCTTGCTCGCAGAGGGCCAAAGGAAAAACAAGCCGCACACGAGCGAGGGGAAAAAAGCATCGGATGAAGAAGAGACGAGAAGCTCGATGACGCGTGCAAAAGGCAGCTAATGCCAGCTTTATTGACTCTCCGATTCCTTCCTCTGCTCAATGCGCTTTGTCTTTCTCTCCGTTCTCTTCGTCGACCAGAACTGAGCGAATGCCGCTAATGGCTTTTTCACCTAATTATTATTGCCTGTGTAATTTTCATTGAGGCGAACGAGAGCGTTGCTCAATTACGGACGCCAATTGCCAATTGCCGGTGGTGTTTTAATGGGAAAGCTTTCAGCGACTTGAAAATCCTTGGATACCGAATTTCCTCTTTTGAAAACATACGCAAAGAAGAGACCGATGGAACGTTATCACGCGATTCCTGCATTACCAGCTCTGATTTTACCCCAGCTAAGGACGGGGTAAGCTCCAAGTTCTTATCGTCGATGAATAAGTTATACGTCGCGCCGGAACTTGGCGCTCGTATAATTAGTATTTTTTGTCGTCGACCACTCTTCAGCGATAACTTTCGTCGCGCGGTCAAGCTTTCGCGAGTTAGGGCTGCAAGAAACAACAGCGAAAGCAAACCAATTAAGTATTCATAATTATGATCCCCTTGGTTTGGAAGATTTAGCCTCGCGCGAGAACGCTCGACGCTAAGCTCAAAGGAGCGCCGCAATTCTCAACGCGTTGACGCGGAAAATGCAATGAGCGTCATTAGCTACATTTTTCCGCTCACAAAGAACTTCCTTGTCAGCGTGAAAAAGCCTTTTTAGAGATGCCGTTCCCCTTGTTCGCCAATTGCATTTTCTCGTTTGCCATCTTCGAGGGCTTGCCACCAATTTATCAAGCTGAGGTGTCCGTACGAAAGGAAGTATACGTGTACGCGCGCGCGAGTAAATTTCCTTTTTGTACCATTTGGTTACTTCGGTCGAGTATTCGGCGTTTGATCGCGTTGGAATTACTCGCTCCTTGGAAATTAAGGAGAATCTACCTATATTTCGTACTTTGTACTCGTCTGCTTTGCTTGTTGTAAATTGGGAGATAAGTAAAGTGCTGGCGCTCAAATCATTGACTCGCCAAAGCTTACCGGTGATCGAAGGAGTCAGTCCTGTTGGACTTGTAGCCGCTATCGTTGAGACTGCCCTCGTGACGTAGCGAGGGCAGCGAGTCCCAGGGCGAGTCGCGCTTGTGCATGCCGCTATAGCCGGGCACCGAACTCGATGCCGCTGAGCCGAATGTCGAGCTGCCCGATTGCCAGCCGTCGGAGTGACGGAACCATTGTGCTCGCGCCGACTCGCCGATGCAGCTTGCGCATCTGGGACAAACGAAAATGTGTATGTTCCTTCTTCGAGACGCCGTGCGCGAGGTTGCAGTTTGACGCGTGCTCGGCAAAGCAAGCCCGCTTCAAATCTCGTCTCGCGCGCGTCGTATCGCAAGATCAAGTTATAGATACACGCGCGACAAAGCGATTTGAGCCTCGCGTGGCTTCTTCGGCCTCTAACTCACTTGTCTCGGCCCAAAACCTTCACACGAAGCTCAAATCACTTTCTTGCACTCGGCATCGATATTTGCTATTCTAATTTTGATAATTATTTTACTTTACGCTGGTGAGCTACGTCGTTTGAACCAAGTATTGTATAGCGCTTTTTGGGCTTTCTTTCGCGTTGACAAGTTTAAGCTTCATACGGGGATCTTTTATCTACAGTAACGCAGAGATTGTGAAAGTTTCCATTTTATTTGGAAACGCAAAGAACAAAATAAGTATTTTCTCGTTTAAATTTACGACTGCGGTTGATTAATCGAGTTACAACAAGAATTCTTTTGCGTATGATTGACATAATTTGTCTTGTTAACCTTCACAATCATAATAATCGATAAACTGAATGATTGAACGATTTGACAATTGGAATATTCGCAGGAGCGTTAGAACCTGTGCGATTAATTGTTTCAAATCAATGACAAAAACGAAAGCTATGCCTTTGCATTACTAAATTAACGTAAGCAGAATGAATCATCTTTCCATAAGAAATTTAACTGTAAACATCAACATTTCAAATCCTATTTACAAATGATGGCTTACTTTTGTCAATTTTAATGCTAAAAAAATCACAATATTATAAACACAACGTTAATTTTTACACTAGTGGGTCTTCCATTTAATGAATTTGAAAGGTTCGGAAAGACAGCTCTGCATAACAATATTTTCTTTACAAGTGACATCCGGATAATTAATGATTGATTTGTCGACCGATGATTTGCACTTATTTTAAAATTATGTTAAATCTGAACTTTTCGTAAGAAGTTTTCAATGGTAACTTTGTACGACAATAGTTGGAATGTTGTTCGCTTTGTTAATACCTCGAATTGTAATTGTAATCGCTCAGGTAGCCCCGATCACGATCAAGCTCGCGATCTCTTCTCTCGCGCATTAGGTCGTTCCGATCACTGTAGTAGCCGTCTCTGCTGTCTTTGCTGTTCTGTCTTTCGTTGATGTAACGGTAAGATTGCGGTAAAGTCGACGATTTGCTGGCATTGGATCCTGAGAAAATATGAAATGCTGTGACACACGTCGCAATAATCATGCCAATCTAAGCCACGATTATCTAAGTCGATCAAGTCTACAATAGAAGCAATGAGAGTTATGATACGTGCAAGTGATAAAATGTTTTACTAACGTCGTCTCGATGCATGAGGTGTGCGCTGAGGATTTAGAGGTATATTTTCAGCGAATTCTGCAAAGCAAAAGATATTTAATAAAGCGTGAAAGTTTTAAAATACGACAAAGTTTAAAATACGAAATCTATCATCGTCCGTTGTAAACTAAGTCGCTGTGAGCCTGGCGCATCGTTCATTATTATCAGATCCTAAATCTGACGATATTACAATGACTACACGAGAATTGCAAGTGTCGTGAAGTGGAAATGCACAATGAAGCTTCGCTTTCGAAACTTGTCAGGGGAAGAAAGAACCAACGAGCTGCCGACGATTGCCTCGGCTTGCGAGGGGAATCGGAAGGCAACGAAGCAAACGACAGCCGAATGAGCCGGAGAGTACAATTGGACTCACCGAGATTCTCCATGCTCTGCGAGAGGAGCGCCTCGAAAGTGTGCAAACTGTAGCTCTCGGCGTCCATGCCCTTGGCCAGGGTGTTCCTGAGGTGCATCTCGTACTCGAGCAGCAGCCGACTGGTGGGGCTGCCGGGAGTGGAGACCGAGTGCGGGCCAGCCGCTTGCTGCTGCTGCTGCTGAGACGGGTGGGGCTGGTGCGCGGGATAGGACTGCGGCTGGCCGTTGCACCTGCGAGTCTGGCAATGAGGCTGCGGCTGCTCCATGTCGGAGTTGCCGTTGGAGGAGCTGGGCGTGGTGGCGTAGCACTGGTTGTCGAAGATGACGTTGTCCGAGGGCGGCGACATGTCACCTGCAGTGCAACGATCGCGTTCCAAGTCTAAGTACATGCGTGCTCGTCCACTAGCGGGCGTCACATAAGACGCGCAGTTTGCAGCGGCGGCAGGCACGTGCAGGCGCGTATCTGAGTAGGTGGTGCTTGTGCGAGTAGGAGGATTGGTGGTCGTGCTTGGCGCTGAGGTGGAGGCTGAGGCATGGGGAGCCGCGCGGCTGCTGGCAGCCTGCTGCGACCTCTGCTCTCCTGCAAGCTGGTGCTTACTCTTCGCCGACGCCGACGCCGACGCCGCATCGGCTAATCCGCCTCGACTCGACTTTTTCCCCGACGAGGCTTTGCCGCTCGCTTGCACGTGAGCTAGGTGCGCAGGCACGGGGATATACCAGACACTTGGTGCATTAGGAATTTCGATTGGTGCCGCGCGCATACGCTCGCCCCGCGCGACCGACTCGCAACGGGTGCTTACTGCGATCGCTATTGATGCGGTATTTCGCAGCCTTTAAACATCAGAGACGACAATCTCAACTGTGAATTCTCGAATATTTTCCGGCCAAACGACAGCCGTCTCGTTTCGATGCAACTCATCGATTATACGCTTGCTCGTTAGTATTCAATGGTATTCAAACACCGAATGCGCATAAGCAACGCACCGAGCAATTCACAGCTGATATTATATATCGACAAGCATTGAAAGGCATCTGGATATATCTTTGCACACGGCAGTAACAGTTGCTTGTTGTTCATCACAAGTATCCAAAATCAGACATTTGGAAGGATAATAATGACGTTTGGCATTATAAACACTCTTACAATCTTGCGAAATCTTCAACGGTAAGTTTATGTACTCGTATGTATTTTTAAAACTTGAAATTTTTAATTTTTCGTGGCGCAAGTGCTGCAGGCAGATTATTTAGATATGTTTTACGACTGAAAGTAAATGTTATCTTTGACAAGCTAGTAAATGTATAAAATTTATAAACGTCAATTGGTCAGTATCAAACAACTGTTATGAAATATCACCAATATCAATAACGTTTCAAATAATTATGAGCAATCCCTTTCACAATAGTTTATTTTTCACTTTACTCTTATTCAATATATACGATTATTTTGTTGTCATGTAATTCAAGCAGCTATATTTTTATGTGCCGATCGTTAGAATTTCATGTGTTTCTTTGCCATTTCATCTAAAATTCTACGCACCTATCGAATGTATATCTTCTAATTTCATTCGTGATTTGCTTAGCGACCGTTATTCAACACTAAATACATCGTACTAAAATGCTAAATTTTGGTAAAGTAAAGCAAAGCCGTTCGCAAACGTATTTTCTTTTTTTTACACTGATAAGATGTAACTTTACGAAAAAGACTCGACTTGATTTCTTATAACCGATTGTAACCGGTCACGTATGCGAATGAACAATACGATCTCAATGAATGACATTAAGAATTTTGTCGAGGTTTGGTCTATCTATGCCTCTATCCGAAGTTCGTCTATCTGATCCGCCGCAAAATTAAATCTATTTGTTTCATACGTTCACGATAATTTGACAGATAGAATCGCCTTATCTTGGTCTTTCAAAGTGGCCTTAGCGTATGACGAAAACCGTCGTCGTCGCCGCGACAATAGTCGTGCAGTAATCGAAAGCGTGGCCGGCAGATACAAGCAGCTCTCTGATCAGTGTAACAAAGAAAACACTTTGCCGCGCACTTGGCGTAAGCAAGAATGGGCGTGCGCGAATAACCGGGCACGCGATAGGTACATGTAATACCAGAATACTGTCGGTCCATCTCGTGGACGCTCCTGGAGCTTTGGAACTTGTTGTTGTAGGGCTGCCTGTAGGCAACGGCGTGCACGTAATTGTCGTTTTCCGCCTCGGACATGACGTATCGCTGATTGTTGTTGTTCGGGTGATAGTGATAGCCGTGGTGGCCGTTATGCCGCTTGCGAGTCATCTCGGGCGAGGTTACAGGACTGTCGATACTCGATACGGGCTTGAGCATGCGTTTGAGGGTGTGCTGATCGAGGCCCATTTGCTGTTGGTGCACGTTCACTTGGCGATGGGCTTGATTCTCTATGCGCATGTCGTCAGTGCTCTTGCTCTTGCTACGGCGCTGGCCGTGATTGTTGTTCATGATGTTGAACATGTGGTGCTGCATATCCAGCTCTGTGTAGTCCGCTGATTTGGTGTGGTGAAGACCGTCTTTGCGGTGGTGGTACCTGCTCGCTAGGCTACCACCGGCTTGGGTGCCTTCGGACTTCAAGTCGCCAGGGCCGTTTTGATGCATCGAACTCTCTTGTTTGGGTTTTTTCGGCGATGGTCCTGTGGCTTTGTCCTCTGGCATCTCGATCTGCAGGAAACATACACTTCAGTACATGGATTTTCGCATTACAGTCTGCTCTCGTACTTGGCTTCACTTTACGAGAAATCTACAGAAATTTACTTCACATATTTATGGAAACTAATAATAAAGTAAAGCCTCGAAATATTATATCACTGCACTGATATGATCATATCGTTTGTATTTTCAGTATTTTCTTGTTGAATTGATAGAATAATATTTGTTATTAGTTTGAAACGAAAGCTGCAGATAAATATACGTGCATTAATAAAGTATTTCATACTAAAGTTAACTGCTACATGAATTTAAAGTTCATTATACAATGTTCACCAAAAATCAATAATACATCCTCTATTTACTTTACATAAATAACAATCAATTTCTAAATATTGTCAGCGGTTTTGATAAATGAACCGTATTGTCAATGCCTTTATAACGATTTATTGATACGTATGATAACCCATTTATTACTGAAAACAAAATTGGAATTGATTATAATTTAATGGTTTTGCATTACCATCGCTATTTTAAAGAGCACTCTCCTCTAGTTGTAATTTGCAAGTGTATTTTATCTCTACGTTGCCATCTTCAAGAGAATCTGTTGTTATCTCGAAAATAAATAAACAAAGATCAAGGCAGTAAAAAAATGGGTTACAACGAACTAATTTATGAGTTTGTCAGCTGTGTCTATCTCAATGTAAATAATTTGAGACTGGCTCGACCGAGTGCCCACGACGAAATAATGATCTCCAAGTACTTTGAAGGCTTATTGAGCAGTACAACGGCGGAAATAACAGTAGTAGAGGTCGAGGAACGACAATGTCGATGACGAGGACACACCTGCGAGCCAACGTTCGCCGTACCAATACCCACGTTGGCGGTTTTAGGATTCGTTTGGCACGTCTCGTTCTGCTGTTGCGTGTCCTTTCGCTTGATCGAGTCGCCGCTTTTGAGAATTTTTGGACCAGGCGTCGCGCCGCCCGGCTGATTGTTCACGTCGTCGTAGAGCGAGGCACTCGACGTTGCCGTCGCTATCTTCTCGCGTCCGGTCATCTCTGCGTCTGCCGATCGTGATGTGCTTCGTGGTAGCGTCGAGGCTGCAATTACCAGTACATACTTTAGCTTCTTATCGTCGACGTTAACGTTACTATAATCTACGACGGCATCGTATTTTTGCCAGCTTGTATATTCCGCTAGCCGCACACCACAGCGACGTCGACCAAAATAAAAAGCAGTGCAAATAAGTTTTCAGTAAGGCATCGCGTTACTTTTAAGAATCAAGCCACCCCAGCAAAGCTATTTCAAACTATATTTGCATCTTTGGAATGTACTTTTTGAAATGTCGGCAGTAGTTTTCCAATGTCGAAAATCGAAACTGTCTTCAACTTTGTCAATAAAAATCTGCCGAGAAGCAGCAGGAAAAAGAGCTGTCGTCCACTAGATCCACTGAAATGAGAAATTGACCAACCGCGGCGCAGCCGCCCACGAAACATACGTACGCGCGCGCGAGAGCAGCAGCAGCGCATACGCCCTGGCTGCGGAGTAAAAGAAGAGGAAGAAGGGGAGGGAGAAAGGCAGAAGCCGTTCGATTCCTCGGGATAAGCAGAGAGACAGCGGGGAAAGGAGAGTGCATGCAAAGCTGGCGAGCGAGTAAAAGGCGAAAAGACCGCATCTCGGCTCTCCGCGGTGTCGGTCGCCAGAGCGCGGCCCCCGCAGCCAGCACACGGCCGATTTATTATTCCATTTGGGCTTGGCAAACGGCGGCCGGGGGGCCGGGCGGACGGGCGCGCGCGCGCGGGAGGGGGAGGGATGGCGGCCGGCTGCTCGCTGGGCAATCGATAGTAGCCGGCGCTGCGTACCGCAAGTGTTGGTCCTGAATCTTGGATCCTGGCGCAGTCGGTTGAACTGCTCGGGCGTCATGCAGGTGCACTGGGGCTCGCGGCCCGCCCCGCGGCTCGGCGACGCTGGCGTCGACAGCGGCTTCCGGCGGGTCTTCGCCTTGGCGCTGCCACCCCCTTGGGAGTGCGACGCCGCCGCCGCTGCCGCCGCCGCTGCTGCCGCCAACTGCTGCTGCTGTTTGCTCAGCGGATCCAGACGCAGCGAGTACGACGACGAGGCCTTGCGTGACATCTTGAACGACGGCGACTGCCGGGACAGACAAGACGTTCGCGTTAGCGCTATTTTGTTTGGCACTTATTGTCAGGAGGATCTCTCGCAATACATTTTTTTCTCTGTCGGTTCGAGATCGCTTTCGCGTTCTCGCTCCCTTCGCTACAAGCTGCAAACTCAAACATCTAGTTACAGAAGCTTGAGGCAGGATTTTGGCACGTGTCTTATCAGAAAATGCACGTGTTCGCTATCCAAAATCATCCTCGAAGGAGAGGAAATGAGAGAGACATTTTAGCAAGCACAATATGATGTATGAGTTTTTGAAATGCCAAAGATCGTCAGAGGGATCTTCCAGTTTGACATTAATCATCGGTCTTACTAATGATCATAGAAATAGAGATAGATAGAAATAATGGCTTAACGAGAGAAGTAGCTTGACGCTTTTTTCAAGCACCATGTGCAGTTTATACGATAAACTAAGCTATCTGAAGTATAGTACCTGACTCGTGTTCCGGTAACGGGCCGCAGACTATATGCAAATATACATATCAATTAATTTTTTATTAATTGTTGGCGAAAGATTTGTTTTGTGATTTTCTTATATTTGGAATTTAATTTATTGTGAGTGGTCTGATTGTGTTGCGGTGTTTGTATCAGAAAGGATAATTGAACATGAAATAATATTCAACTTTTCTCATAGTAGTCTATTTACAGGTCTTCGGTATCGTACTGTTGGCAGCGCGATTTATAGATGAAACAAAATGTTCAACAAATGCAAAGTAACGTTCACTAACGCGCTTCTTATTATTTAAATAAAGTTATTTCGTAAAAATGTGCAAATAAACGAGGTTATTTTCACCTGGATCTATACAGCGCGTAGATAAATTTCAGCGAGTTAGCTGCAGACACCAAATAGCCGCGGTAAAGTTCGTAAATTAATTTAGCCAAAAAATTTGAACAATGTCCCTTCGAGATTTCACAAAATAGGTGTATATGTATTGGTGATACGAGATTGATCTAGTCTTCGTTTTTTACGTGTTCCATTGTAAAAGACATCGTACAAGTACTACTTACAACACATTCTCGGAATTGCTTGGCATCGATCGCACAAGTGAAATTTAGTCCCCAAGTGTCGTTTGTCATCGTGTCCTTCCAGTAGACAAAGCATTCTGACGCTTGACCGATTCGGGTTCCTGGAGGGAGGACCAAAAAAAATGCAAAATTAACAACAGCGCAGGCACGCTCTCCTGCTGTTCTTTCCGGAATACAACATTTTTTTGAGCTACTCTCGTGCTCGTTTCTCGAATCACATTTTACGGTGAATAAGAAAAAATCCTCATATTCGTTTTCCAGCTCAGGTTTCGAATGGCAATGGCAACTCAAAAGCTACATTTTCCATCATTTTTTATTTTCTTTTTTTTTTCAATCTTAAAATAAAAAATAGGTCAAGACATTTTCACATCAAAATCCTTCTTTTTTCCTCTCTTCGCAAGGAGAAATAGCACACGAGGTAAAATTTACAGAAGTCGCACAAGCATCTTGCGCGCCTCTCGCAGTCGTAATGTAAAATCCATAATGACGTTTATTATGCATGAGAATAGCTCTTTCCATTCATTAGAGTTTTCAATGCAAAGTTGTCGCGCAACTCGCCGCCAAAGAAGAAGCGGAATTCGTTCTCTCGCGTTTGAAAACTGTGAACGATGAAGTGTCCTTTGCGGAACAGCAAAATCTTGCGAAAAAAAGCTCCTTCGATAGCACTCAATTAGACAGTAGCAAAGAGCATTAAAGGGCAGCTGGCTGAGCGAGAAAAGAGGAGGAGAAAGGGAAGCTCGCGCGTCGTCAGTCTTGACGTGGAAGGAGGTAAAATGATACGCTTGTCGCTGCAACGGAGGATAATAAGAGGGAGAATATGCGCGCGCGATAAGCAGCGGCGCGGCGTGCGAGAGGGCACACGTACGATATGCAAGCAGGAAGCAGAAGATAAGCGACGCGCTGGATATACATGTCTCGTAGCGATTTACCGGGCTGCACGAGTCGCACGTCGAGGATCCTGTCGACCTGGCAGTTGTACGCTGTGATATGGAATATGGTCTCGGGCGTCTCCTGGATGCAGGTGATGTTAACCGGCACCAGATCCTCCGAGACCTGCTGCCATTTCACGCTGCCGGCACCGCTTGTCACGTGAAACACCTCCGCCCACAACCTGCAACACGCGCGAAAACAACGATCCGCCAAGATGCATTACTGCTCTCTTTTCTCCAGCTTCTTCCCGCTCTTTCCTCTCAACATCCTTTCTACTCTCCACTTCTTTCCTTTTCTCTTTACAACGACACTCATGCATCGCATCGAAGGCTCTTTTTCGAGCCAATTTTTCGAAACTTAATTCTCTTTTTTTTCTTTTTCTTTTTCTTTTTTCTGTTAAAATTATAACTCTAATATACCGTGCTGAAAAATCTGAAAGCAAATCTATGTTTCTGCGGAAGCTTTACGACCAGCTTGCCTGACTTTTTCTCATCGACGCGATCTAGTATTTCATCTTCGCAAGGATGCTTTCAAAAATTACTTTCGCGGAAATCTTTTGATTAGTCTTTCCGTTTTTTCCAACTCCAATTAAAAAGTATTCCAATGATTTTTTTAATGTCGTATAGTTCGCGTGCTCTTATACAGCAAGACAATTAAGAAATTCGAAACGGAAATTATTTAGCGATCAAATAGTCGAAAAAGCAATGAGTAAAATTGAAGGATTGGACAAATGATACGTAAAGGGAATTCGTCAATTTATGCGTACAATTATATAAGACACGTCTCCGGCAAATGTCTTGATTACAATAAACATGACTACGTTTCGCGACGTAATGCGAATTCGAAAACTTTTCTTATTGCCATTATTGCGCTCGTGTAGTGAAGTTCAAGGTACGTATACACGTGAGAAAATGCTGTCTAGCTCCGACAAAAAGTTTTAAGCATCCATAATGATCTCTTAAAACGAAAGCTCCTACCACGGTGAGAATCCCGTTCGATCGCACCGTAAAATAAACTTTGCTATCGAATATGCAAAAGAACGTCATTACACGGGAATATTCATGCGCAAGCGAGTCGAGTCGAACTGCATATGTGCGTGTATAGTTCGCGCGAGAGCGAAAGAGAACACGGACCTCTAGCCGTCCCTCCGCTATAACCCGAAGGAGGCTGCTCTCAAGACGTGGTTCGACGCGAAGGGATCTTGCCACCGTCACCTTTCATACGCCCAAACAAATGCAAATTCAGCGTGATTTTCGCCAGGGAGCAAGCTAGTGGCTTTGGAAAATGGAGTTTGCTCAAGACAAAAGCCTTCTCAACCAGCTCCGCGTCACGTCACGACCCCCTCTACCATTCGATCGTTCTGCTCCCTAAATTCTTGCAAAATTAAACGATCTTTATTATTTCAGTGACGCTATAGCTTTGTAATTGGATATCAGAGCCTCTCCGTCCTCTTTTGTTTTGTTTTTTTCAATTCCGATGCAAATTCTTTATTGAACAGATAGATGTCAGTTTGGTAGAGGCAAGCGACGATTGCAATCGAACAAGCTCTGTCCGTTAAAAGCAAATAAATTCCAAGCCACGGCTTATCGGATCAACTTGTGTTTGCGCACACCGACTCCCTGACATTTTGAAATTCAGCTAGCTTGCAAACTTTCAAGTTTATAATTGATGTAACTGGCATTCCCAACTTTACCATTTTCAACGTTAATCGCGCACTTTTTTCAGTTCAACGTGACGTTCGGCTTATAATTAAAAAGCGTTGTATTACAAGCCCGTGATGACTTTCGAAACGTTTTATTGAAAAATTAACGTTGGACATTAATATGTAGAATGAAGTTACTAATAATATAGAGCAAAAAATTTAGCAATTTTCGCACGTAGAACTCTAAAATATTCGGAGGGCAACGCGAAAGAGAATTGAGAAAAGCTTGCGGGTAATGATTTTTTATTTTCGCCGAAAAAAATCAGCGATATCGTGAAAAAAGAGCGAAAGCCGCGACATAGAAAGATAGCTGCAAAAGCCCACACTACTTTTCCACGATAAAGGCTACATATTCCACACGAAAGCTCTCTATTCATGCAAAGTGTGTGGTGTATAAGATGAAGTGAGTGAGAGAGAGAGATTAGATTAGATTAAACCATTTTTTTTATTTAGCCATGGGGTATAACCCCGTAGGCTTAGAGAGAGAGAGAGAGAGAGAGAGAGAGAGAGCGAGAAAGGACGAGATCTCGGTGTGGATGTATAACTCTCATTCTTTCGCGTGACATTGAAGGAATAAACAGCATTACACGTCGAAGAAAAAGAACATTTAAAGACTAGTCAAAGAAATGCACTTTTACGAGAGCGAAATTGGATTTCAGTAGCAGTTATCGTGTACACGAACAAATCGAATTAAGCTTTTGGAAGACGCGAAGCGAACAAATAAGTAAATAAATAAAGTGCTTTACGCCCGCATACGCTGATTTTTATTTGCCAAATTTATTGAAATATCTTTCGTTATGTTTTTTTGTTCGTTCCATTTATTCGACAGCTCAATTTGTTCTATCGCTTGAAATTTCTGCCACGTTCTCTTTTTTTTATATCAGTGAAATTGGGCTCACGCAAAAAGTATATAACGGAATTCATATTGACAAGCAAGCTGCTTTTTTCAGTCGTGTCTTTTTTGCACTCGATTTTTATCGAATTTTAACGAATGCGAGAAACCATCGTTTGGCATTTCGGATTTTCATTCAACAATTTTAATACTTTTTTTACGGGGTTTCAATCCCAATTTAAAAAGAAATGAAGCTAAAGCTCATACAGTTGAAAAATAAATTCATTCTTATCAAATAAAAAGTAGAAAAAGACCGTATTTTTAAAATTTCGGTAAAGATACTTGGGCGATACACTGACACACTGCTCTCAGTGTAGTCTCTTACCAATCTCAAGTGTAGTAGAACACACACATCGCTTAAATATTTTTAAAGCCGAGAAAAAATACGCAAATGGGACCATATAAAGACAAAACAAGTAAAGGTGAGTGAAGAATGGCGATAGAATGAGAATGACAGTGAGTACAAAAGTTGATATAATAATACTCTGGTAATCTCTGTTGGAAGTCATATATAAACAAAGCAAAGTCATATATAAACTGTACTTCGATTATTTCTTTGTTAATTAACAAAAATAATTGACATTCTACTGCAATGTGACTCTTTCTTTATTATTAGTATAATCAATCTACAGAAGCTCTCAGTAAGAGATAAATAAGAAAAAAACCATGCACTCACATTAGTAAAAAAAAAGCGAATGTACCTACAGTAGACTCATATATAAATGACTATACTAAGAGGAACTCTTGTCTTTTAACAGCGCAGAGTCCAATCTTCCAAATATACTCAGAAAAACGCAAGAAAGAGTTGCGAGAGAAATAATGGAGTAATTAAAAAAGAAGTATGAGAAGAACCGAGAATAAAGGAGGTATAATAATGGAAATGGTTCTGAAATGATTGTCAATGGATAATGCGCACCTCTTTCTCTCTCTTAAGCTTCCGCACCTGAGCAAGTGGCCGGTGTCACCTCTGCGCTCGCCCTGAGCAACGCCGCTCATACGACCTCGATTGTTCTGCTGCCACGGCGAGTCCTCGTACCTGTATCCTTTCTTGATCAACGGCGCGCAACTGCACGACAGTTTGTTACCCATCTTTTTACTATGACTTTTTTACCTCCTAGATACTTGTTTTGGATTTTGGAAGCCTTGTTTTCTTCTTTATTCAGTCTGCGTTTTTTTGGCCGCGACTCAGTCTCTCTCAGTATATCTTGTTTGCTTTGGCTTGGCTCTTTCGACCTTTGGCACTGCGGTTCCTCTCTTTCTCTCTCCCTCGTCCGCGAGTTGCTTTTTTGTTCGTTTGCTTGCTGATTTTTCTTGTTTCTTTTCTACTTTGGGGGCTGCGGGTGGTACGGGAGGGGAAGCACTGGATTGATGCTGGGACGATTCGGACTGAGCTCCCCGAGATCAGAGATGCAGGAGGTAACTTTATTGTCACATCGTCGCCAGCCGCTGTGCGCATCGAGCAGCTTTACTACGGCATGATGGCTGCAATCACAAATTATTTTATTAATCTTAACACTCCGACTGGTGTGCTTGAGTGTTTATTATTGATCGACGCGTAATTACGAAAATTAACGGATCGCGGGGATTACGCCCTAAATACGAATGCATCAATTTCATTGAGAATCGAATGTGAGTATCTAGCTGATTAATTCAGCTTAGGAAGCCCTATCGCGCATCGTATTACGCTCTAATGGCATTCAAAACGCAAATGCAACGACTAAGGCCTTGGTGTTTAGCTGTTAATCGAGCGAGTTAATTTTAATTTTCTTATTTTCAATCTGCAAACGCATTATTTATTCATAAAACCCACCGGATGGAAAATATATACATTCGCGACGATGTTCCGCACTTCTTGAGTATTAAATATCAAATATCATATTCATCTTAATTAGAAGATGTAAAGTCGTCGAGAAATCCGTCAAGTGCCTCGTTATCCTCTCTCACGTAAAGTTTTGTTATCTTTCAACCCCAGAAATCCACGTCAATGTTACAAGATAATGAAATATGCAGTATTGTTTTCTCGAAAACTGATACTTTTTCAAGCTCAAAGCTAATAAGCGATCCCAATGACATTTTAAATATTTAAAAAGCTACCCTCGTCCGTTCTACTGCTATTTCAGGACTTGTAACCTTATCGATATCTAGCAGAAGAGTCTTGTGATATGAAATCAATTTGATTCCATCAATTCGATTTTCGCGTCATTCAATTTCAGTTTCGCAAACGCCAATATAATGGCATAAAAATAATTATATTGATTTCCTCATCAGTCTACATTAATCATTACTATTTGGGCTATAATCAAATCAATCGTATATTCGAGTGAAGTGCTTTGTAACTGAGTTATTTATTAACATCAATAAGATATGATTATCAAGTCACTATGAAATTAACCGAACAGAGTATATCAATTTTAAATCGCACGACAATTACCAGCTTCAACATTGTTCATCTCTAAATGAATCAGAATGTATCGAGAAATAATTTGAAAAAAAAAAAAAAAACAGATAAAAATTTTAATCGTCTTGAAAAAGGAAAAGTAAAAATCTGTAAAGAGGCAAGGCGAAAAAATCTAGGCTCTGTGTTGATAGCATACAAATTCCTTGAAATAACTAGTAAAAAGAATCCTCGGGCTACACAAAGGAGAAAGCCTCGACCCCTCTCTCTTGCAGTCACAAAATCCGGAGTCAAATAGAGCCGCGTAAGTAGTCGCGATCCGCTTGCGGTCAGATATTCCACTTTCCTTAAGTGGTAACGATCGGCTCGCGACAAGCAAACTTGCGGTCTACGACAAAAAGAAAAGCGAAAGAAAAAAAAAGAGTTTTAGAGGGTAGGATAAATGCTCTCAGCTACATGAGGGAGGGGGGATCATTATGTTCCGCAAGCCAGTAGTCAAAAAGAAAAACAACCTCGCGAAAAAGTGTTAGAAGGTCGTCGTAGATGCATCAGTTGAGAATACTAATTAAATCGTGTGACTGGTGGGAGGCCACTTGTTTCCAAGAGAAATACAAAGTTCGCATAAACAGAAACAATGTTGCGTATTTTATTTGGTGGGAATGTCAATAACCCCAGACATAGTCTTGTACGGCTGCTATTAGGCAGATCGATTTCTAATAAAGTTTACACGTAGAGCAGCAGAGAGTCGAGTATGAGTCTCGAATATAAAAGGAGGCGTTAATCACAATCACAGCGTCACAATTTAATAATAGGAATACAAACGCGCTCGAGCGACAAATTGAGTGGAAGCTAGCAGAGCGCGATTGCAGTAGCAGCCCTGACTGCGCGTCATCGCTGGAAAATCAACGGCCTCGGACGCTGGAAAATCAAAGCCTCCAACACATTAATCTAAAGCTCGCGCGCTCCTGTCAAAATTAGCAATAGACCAAGTCAATTTCTCGTATTCTATATAAAACGCACGTATGGTCAATGTTATGGAAGTCGATCCTTCCCGATAGCCTGGCGCCCTTTGCAGCGCGGATAATCGAAATCGAATTTACGTAGTATACGGGACAACACAGCGATCGCCGATAACTTAGAAAAAGTCTAATTCGATTGATCGCGTCGCCGAGGCCGTAGAATGCCGAGGAAAAAGAAGAATATATATATATATAAATCGGGAACGAATATCTGTTATACATGCTACGACGATTTTTTGGCTGCGCTTTCGGGTCCATTGTCAGCATGCTTCTTCTCCTTTTTTTTCCAAAAGAAAAAAGAAATATTAGCCTGCGAGCTGATTTCCTTTTGTTTTATGGTCAATGACGTAAGACGCGTATCTGCATTGTCTATTAAATCGAATGAGCTGCGTATATCTCTTGCATGTTTTTTTAACTGTACACAACGCCGTGACAATTAACGCAGTCGATTCTGATTCGCACTTGCGTGAAAATTCAATTGGTGATTTTTAACAAAGATGACTTATTAAAACGCGGTAATTAACTTGGGGTTTGCTCCTCGCTTGAAAGGGCCGTTTATTAAGCGGCTCTAATAAAGCGCCAAATTTCCAATTTCATAATAATAATCCTGTGAGCACCGCCGACATTTAGAAACACACTTGCTATGCTACATCCCTTCTTTTTAATCAACTCGCCCAAAATGCATGCTTCTTCCGCAGTATTTTTAAAAAATAACCTTGCATTCCTCGCAATTATCCAACTCGTAAAATAACCAAGTTTACGAGTTTCCTGAGAGAGAGAATTAGAGAAAGAGAGAGAGAGAGAGAGAGAGAGAGGGAGGGAGAGAGTATGTCAGAATTAAAAGTAGTGGGGGAAAAAAGGTCCGAATTACGTCTAAATTCTGGGGGAGTGGCTGCATACTGTGCTTCCGCAATTTGCCGCCGCCTGAAAAAATACTGTCCCCCGTAGAAGAGGAGGAGGAGAGAGGAAAGAGAAATTAAGGAGAGAAAAGCTTTTGCTATTGGAGAGATAAAATCTGGTTCGAATCCAGGTCACAGTCCTGCGAGCGAACCTCTCTCTCTCTCTTTTCCTAGCTACAAATTACGTAATGAGAACAGCAACAGTGAAGCGCCAGGTACACGACAGCGAAGAGAGAGAGAGAGAGAGAACAATTACCGGCAAGCGACAAAGGAGTAAAGTTCTTCGCTAGTGTTGCTGGCAAATCGTGATTATGCGCCGGGCTAAGCTCGCACAACTTGTGCATTTTTCTCAGTCAACGGAGTTTGATATACATCCCGCAGGATGGTCGATGTTGTCAATTGCTAACCAGGTTAGCATTTCAACGAAATTCTCCGCAACGGCTAAGATTCCGGTGGTATTTTATTGGACGACTACCCCCCCCCCCCCCCCCCTCTCTCCCTGATAAACTTGTTAAACGCTGCGGTGTATAATATATGAAGGCACTTTGCATGTTAACTTGGCCTGTAACCACTGGCGCTATGTCGCATATTCGCGCGCGAACATTGTACATAGAGCACTGTTGCCCGGTGATGCTTTCGCAAGTGTATAATAAACGCCATTTGATTTTGCATCCCTGATGCTAAGCAAATTCGCTTTTATTTAATGCCCTCCCCCTCTTTTACTCACGAAGCTGCAACGATGCAGACGATATTCTTTCAATTGTATAAAAACAAAACTGTCAAAGACAAAAGGCAATAAATTCAACTCGGCTGATGAGCAACTCGAGGCTCGTCCAACAGTCAACGAGAGTCGACCTAATAATAAACACGAGCGAAAGTGAAATGAAAATCCGTCGGCGCGGCGGTGCATTATCGAAAGTCGCGGATCGATCGCCGTCAAACTATATAGACGTTGCATAAACAAAGCCGCCGCAGAGTACGTATATTAAGCAAAAAGTCGATTGGTAAGAGCGACGATCGGCCTTCTATCGAGTAGCGAAAATTTGGCCTTTCTCGCGTGTCAAAGTTACTCTCGTCTTCTCTCTAGGCGCGCGCGCGTGCGTCAGTCCCTTAACGACTCTGCGTTACAGGGCGACGACGAAAACGAGGTCAAAAGCCTCGGCCTGCCAAAGTTTCTAATGGGACTCGGGCTGTTTGGACATGCTGATGACGACGCCGATGATTCCTCGCGCAGACGTGCGGCAGTCATCCCGCTGCTCGCCGACTCGACTTCGCGCGCTATAAATAGGGGGCGCTTTAAAAGTGGGGTGTGGCCGCCGCTCCTCCGCGCGAGATATATCCGTGGAGCGAGAGACGCGGAGTTCAAGGTGAAATTGCATTTTCAACTTGTTGATGTGTCGTCATTGTGTCTAAGAGAAATAAAAAAGGCCTAAAGGCTTAACGCTCACTCCTCCTCCTCCCCCTCTCTGCCCGACCTCTATGCTTTGACGTCGTCCCTCTGTGTACCGTACGAAACGAGAATAGAGTTGACGAAAGGTCAAGAAAAAGAATAAAGAAGAAGAGGACAAAAAGCTATCTAACTTTTTTCATTTCCTAAGTCAAGCTCGAAAACTCAACTCTACTCAATGCTTTTCTCCCTCTACCGCATGCCCTTCTTTGTGGACTCTAATTTTTATAGCTCGTCGATTTACATCCCTTCGATTCGTGTAAAAATTCATTTTTCTTCGCTTATTATACACGCGAGAGAGAGAGAGAGAGAGAGAGAGTGATGGGGGGGGGGGGTCGCCTCGAGAGTGCGTATTTATAATTTAATGTGCGCGAGGATATTGATGATGCTTTAAGTAGAAGAGGTCAAATACGCGATAAGACGTATCCCGCCGAGGAGCGTACAGTGCATTTTTATTTTGCCAAGAAAAAACAATGAAAAATCCCTTTCAACCGTATATAATTGCGAGGCTCTTATAATTGTGAGGCAAGCGGTGATCGCGCGAGCGCAGAGCGAAAACATTTCAACGCCGCCGAAATGTATTTCGCGCTTCGGCTTGCTCGTGTGCTCGCGGGCATATGTGTAACATTTTCGCGAAATGCGCGCGCGCTGGCAAGACAATCGTTCGGCGTGCACAATAGAGGAGTTTTTCGCTTATACATTAATCGAGAGAGTGGTAAATC